TAGTTGGACATTAACTTGTTTTTTGACGCTAAAATCATGGCTCAAATTTATACTGAACGAGTCAACGAGAGATCGCAAACGGCGTTGAATCCATCGAAAAGACGTTTGCTACAACCGGAAGTGATGTAAGTGTAAAAACAACCGGAAGACCACAAAAATTAAAAAAACAGAAACAAAAAAATGATAGTGAAATTCTTGATATTTAATTCAAAATTATCAGCCTCCTGGGTATGACGATAAACTACAACCTGCAGCAAGGCCTCTGATCGGCAGATTGGTGGTTTTGAGGTGCCTGGAACAACTTGCTGTTCTTCTCAGGTCGACTATGACCCGGGTTGGTAGCACCTGTTCTGATCTCAGCTATGGACAAATAGTGAACTCAGAAACAAAAATCAGTTCATTTTTTACAATTAATAGACCAACAATATATTTCCATAACAAAATGACAATGCAACACTAATAAAATATAAAATACATTTTTATAATAAAATTACCAATAATTCATTTTATGATCAATAAACTATATATCTAGAAAAAACATACGTACAAATATATTCAGTTGAAGCCAAAATATTTAGATTTTGGCATTAAATAACCCACGGATGTGTTGATATGCCGCTAAGTTCTCCTAGACCGAGTGTCAACCAAGGCTAAATAGTCCAGTCTGCCCTACTATTTAAATCATATCTGTGGTATATTTACTCGAAAGTGAAGGTAAGGAACCCGACTGGAATTCGAACTCGACTCGCCGAATTTATTGTTCCGAGCCGATAATCATTACATTTCCAACATATCTGTTTCCAGACGATTTAAGAGATGATATCATTGTCTTAGTTCAGCACTGATGGAATCGTCGCTAAAGTCATCAAAAACAGATTAATGCACATCCGTGTCTATATTAGACATTTGCTTTATGTCAGTTTGTTTCTATGGATGCGATCAGGTATCTGCTTTTATTGCAGTTGCTTTTAGATATTCTTTTTGATTAAATACTTTGAAAAACTCTGCCAAAAGGCTCCGAAAATGTTTTCTTCGGCAATTTAACCATATCACAGAGTTGCTCAACGCAAAATGTTTTCAGTTGTTTCAATCTGGTCTGCTTTATTTGAATTAATCTAAGATATTTTTCCTTCACTAGACAAATGCTGAATACTTAAATGTTTTTGTAAACATATCAAAGAAATCCTTAATGCAAAATTGTTTCAATTATTTCAAAACTAACACGTCTTTTATAACTTTCCTTTCATACGAGATGAGATCTCATTGACTCAATAGTTAGTAAATCTTCAGCAAAATACTTTTATCTACATCCATATGCATATCAGAAAACGGCTTAAGGCAGTAGTTCCCAAACTTTTTTCTCTGGCCCGCATTTTCGGAATGAAAATTTTCTCGCGCCTCACGAAATTTTATGTCATAAAAAGTACATTTAAAAATAAAAAAAAGGACAGAGAGTGGTGTTAAAGGGAGATAACTGCGGAGTCGAAGTCAGAACATCATTGATAACTCTCTTCTCCAAATTGCAATTACAAGTAATCCATAATAATATTTCAAATTTAGAAATCATATTAACATTTGGTATATGAATTTTTTGAAAATGTTTCTAAATCTTTGATTGTCTTTCAATCATTCTGCGTCGCCTGCTATTCTTTTCCATCGAACTACAAACTTAAGGCAAATAGGATTTTATTGTTTCAACATAAACACACATATTTGAGTGCGTGTGTTTGCTAGTGTGTCCAAACGCTATGGCTAAATTCAACGAACAAGGTGTGTCTATTTTATTTTTATTGCATTTTTCTAATCATCGAATAATATGTTGCCATCTTAATTTCTTTAGTGTATGCCCTCTTAGATATAAAATAGATATTATAAAAATTTCCTCAAGGCAGTGCACGAGAATTCATCCTCTCGCACACTTTTCTTAAAGAATTAAGTAACGTAAAACAAACGCTTATTAATAAAAGATTTTCTAATCAGTTGTTGGATTTCCATATTAGCTGTTTTTTGTCTCAGTTAACAACGACAAGAATAGAAACAATAACATTAATATTTTGTATAATAATTGTTCTAATAATCGAATAATATGTCGGGATTAAAATTCTGACCGACGTTTATGCTATGTTATGTTATTGTTCAAAGACATTAGACATTTTCAGTCATTATCAAGAACAGGATGTTGTCAGTTTCTTATACAGGATTGTGTAGTCTACATCTGGGATGGATATTTATCTAACTTTATGCCATGTGTATAACATCTACCCAGAGCTGGACCAAACTGCCAAAGAATACATAATGTGCTTATAAGTAACGTTAATATTAAGTTAATTAAATATTATTTCTTAATTAAATATTTTATAACGACGATACAATCTCCTGGGCGGAAATAATTTTATTTAATCCGGGTTGATTTTATGTAAAAAATAACTTATATTGACCTTTTCCTTGCGGAGAGTGATGTACATTATTTTGTGATAAACCACTAATAATTGTATTATATTGGTAGTTGCATTATAGTTGTTTGCTATGTAATAATCTGAAATGCAGACAGAATTTCTTTTTGCTTCATATCTCATTCTCTGATGTAGATTTAATAATCTAACATGTTAGAATTATAAACTCTTCCAACCTTTTCTTTAACTTACTAAATATCAAGGACATAGTTGCAATATGAACTCTGGTAAAAACATGAATGATAACAGCAAAAGTGCAATATGAGCACTGGTAAAAATGGTTGCTGAAGACATTAGGTTTATAATACCGAGAAATTCATACCCAGAGGACACATGACACAGTGGATAAAGGCTTTGGTTAGATCTAGTGACAGGACCCAAAGAGTGTGAGTTCAATACCTGGTTAAGGCAGTGGAGAACTTTCAGAGGGAAATTAGCAGGAGATAACTGATAACTGACATCCATCAAACATGGCACATGGAATTAGAACAGTCTACCCCAGTGAGCGAAATAAAGGGTTCGACATTCCAACCACCTGAAGAAGGCCGGAGCGTACAACGGCCGAAACGTGATAGATATGGCGAAAAAGATGTAAATAATGCAATATATATATATATATATATATATATATATATATATATATATATATAGTGATAGTGTTAATAAAACAGTATTCAATATAAAATTGAAAAATATTTGATCTGAAGGGATGAATATAAGAATATTCATGAAATAAATTATAACCGTGATGGATTTTTGAGGTGTTTTCTTAATGAATCACTTATATGAAGAAATATACTTTTAAGATGTGCTATATTTATGGGATAAGGTGCTCAATATCAGAGATAGAGCGTGTGTAAGTATAAAAGTGAACATTGAAGTCAACACTCAGAGGCGACAGGCTGTTTCATGCTGACAATTGCGTCCAAGATGAAACAGCCTGCCACCTCTGATTGACTTCAATGTTCAATTAAATATTTTACCCTTTAAAAATCATTATTGATGATAAAATTATGATTAAAATTATTTAAATTGGAATAACCTTTGAAAATTATTTAAATTGGAATAACCTCTGATAATTGTGTAGGTATCTAAAAACAGTCACGAGTTTAATTTATGAACAAAACTCAAACGAATCGATGTCAACTTAATAATCAATAAGAAAAAGTTTAGGAAAATAAAAAAGATTACTAGATGTAAAATGAATTATTCTTTCAATGTACTTTCTATGAATTTTTTGATGTTCCCTTTTAATTTCATCTTAACATCAAGAAAATGATTAAAGAACTGAAGAGCATTAGTATGAAAAGAAATAGACGCAACATGTTTATATTATTCAAGGAATCATGTTTGAATGAAGATACGATACATACATACATACATACATATATATATATATATATATATATATATATATATATATATATATATATATATATAATGGACTCTCCCGTCGATTTCGACGTATGAGGATCTGAAAGTTTATTGATTCAGTTATGAAAGGTTGTGCGATAATCTTAAGTGGTATTTAAGACCCGCTAGTGATTTTATTTTGTTTAGTGCCACATATGGCATATGGATTGTAAGATGAGATCACTGTTAGATTGACTGACCTTTTAGATCTTGCTCTTAGATGATTCAGACAAGCAGATTGAATATATATATATATATATATATATATATATATATATATATATATATATGCATGTAGGTATGTATGGTCTTGGATAACAACTAGTCTAGGAGAAGGAAAACTTTGAATACAAAACCTGCTGAAGGCCGTTTGGGAATCTTGTGACACGTAGTGCACCAGGTCTCCGTATTCGACCCTACAAAAAGTGTGGTTGTTTCTGCACAATACCTTCACCACTATAATCAAATCATATGTGCTGGTGTACAGGCTGTCGGTTCCTAGGAATTGTCGTGCTTGACCCTGATACGTCGAATACGACGGGAGAGACCACCATCAACATCATCACTTGATAAGACACAGAGTGTGTTGAAACAAAATGGCTATTTTTGTAGTGATTTTATAACATTCTTATGTTATAATTTTTTTATAAAAAAAAATTATATATATATATATATATATATATATATATATATATATATATATTGTGTTCAGCTACTTGTTTTTGAATATAGGTAATTGAAATCCTTAATCTATTTATTTTAAATAGATTCCAGATTTTATTACAGACATTAATGTTAACTTAAAAACTTCATTATATCATTTTTTTCTCAGATCTTCTTCTGGTAGATGAATAATTCAAGAAGCTTGGTGCGTTAAAAAATGCAGCCTAACGAATTTGTCAGAAATAGTCATCCCAACTAGAAATAGTTTCTTCTGATTCAAATGTCAAAATTTGAAACCACTACACAGGCGAATAGTTAGCGTTATCTTTTGATCCCTTACAACTTCTTAATATGGACTTATTCACGTTCTATAACTTTCATAGTGTTGCGACCATGAATTTCGTTTACTTTTCTAATGTTTAGACTTTAAAATGTTCATTGCGTTTTCATTTTTAATTGACAATTCCAATCTTATACATCTCTTTTGTGGAAATATGTTAAAGTAGATAAGCTGCCCAGACAAAACGATTCGCCTAAAAATGGCTGGTGTCTTCTGGTAGGAATGAGAGACAAACCTGTGTATAGGCGTTGACATTTTGAGGGAGAAGATATATATTTCTTTTTTCAGATGCTAGACTATTATTTTATTTATAGTTAGTATCATAAAAAGAGTTGCAATATCTAACCCACATAATGAGTAAAGCTCTGTTGGAAAATTGAAAATTCACAAAGAAATATTGAAGGCAAGAGAGACAGAGAGGAAAATAACGGATAATCTATCTAAGGAAATTTTGTAAATGGATGGTAGTACAGTGTATAGCAGAGATAGCAACTGGAAGAAAGAAGAAAAAAGAAAGAAGAAGAAGAAGAAGAAAAGAAGAAGAAGGAGAAAGAAGAAGAAGAAGGAGAAAGAGGAAGAAGAAGAAGAAAGAAGAAAAGAAAGAAGAGAAGAAAAAGAAGAAGGAAGAAAAAAGGAAAAAAAAGAAGAAGGAGGAGGAAAAGAAGAGGAAGAAGAAGAAGAAGAAGAAAAGAAGAAGGAGAAGAAGAAAAGAAGAAGAAGAAGAAGAAGAAGAAAGAAGAAGAAGGAGAAGAAAAATGAGGAGGAGAAAGAAGAAGAAGGTCATATGAGGAAGAGGAGGATGAGAAGAAGAAGATGAAGAAGAAGAAGAAGAAGAAGAAGAAGAAAAAAGAAGGAGAAAGAAGAAGAAGAAGAAGAAGAAGAAGAAGAAGAACAAGAGAAAGAAGAAGAAGGAGAAGAGGAGGAGAAAGAAAGAGAAACTAAACTGGTGAGAACGATAAGAGGAGGATGAGAAGAAGAAGAGGAAGAAGAAGAAGAAGAAAAGAGGAAGAATTCCAGAAAAAGGAAGAAGAAGAAGAAGAAGAAGAAGAAAAGGAGGAGAAGAAAGAGAAGAAGAAGAAACGAGGAAAGAAGAAGAGGAAGAAGAAGAAGGAGAAGAAGAAGGAGAAAAGAAAGAAGAAGGGGTTGAGAACGAGGAGGAGGAGGATGAGAAGAAGAAGAGGAAGAAGAAGAAGGAGAGAAGAAAAGGAAGAAAGAAAGAAGAAGGTGAGAACGAAAAAGGATGAGAAGAAGAGGAAGAAGAAGAAGAAGAAGAAGAAAAGGGGGAAGAGAAAGAAGAGCAGGAGGAGGATGAGAAGAAGAAGGGAAGAAGAAGAAGAAGGAAGAAAGAAGAAAAAGGAGGAGAAGAAAGAGAAGAAGAAGGGGGGTGAGAACGAGCAGGAGGAGGATGAGAAGAAGAAGAGGAAGAAGAAGAAGGAGAAGAAGAAAAAGGAGGAGAAGAAAGAGAAGAAGAAGGGAGGAGGATGAAGAGGAAGAAGAAGAAGGAGAAAGAGGAAGAAGAAGAAGAAGAAGGAAGAAGAAGAAGGAGAAGAAGAAAAAGGAGGAGAAGAAAGAGAAGAAGAAGGGGGTGAGAACGAGGAGGAGGAGGATGAGAAGAAGAAGAGGAAGAAGAAGAAGGAGAAGAAGAAAAAGGAGGAGAAGAGAAAGAAGAAGAAGGAGAATGGGGGAGAAGAACAGAAGAAGAAGGAGGAGGATGAGATAAGAAGAGGAAGAAGAAGAAGGAGAAGGAAAGAAAAAAAGGAGGAGAAGAAAGAAAGAAGAAGGGGGGGAGAGAACGAGCAGGAGGAGGATGAGAAAGAAGAAAAGGAGGAAGAAAGAAGAAGAAAGAACGAGGAAGAAGAAAGAAGAAAAGGGAAGAAGAAGAAGAAGAAGAAAAAGGGAGAAGAAAGAAAGAAGAATAAGGAGGAGGAAGAAAAAGGAGGAGAAGAAGGAGAAGAAGAAGGGGGTGAGAACGAGGAGGAGGAGGATGAGAAGAAGAAGAGGAAGAAGAAGAAGAAGAAAGAGGAAGAAGAAGAAGGAGAAAGAGGAAGAAGAAGAAGAAGAAGAAGAAGAAAAGAAGAAGGAGAAGAAGAAAAATGAGGAGGAGAAAGAGAAGAAGAAAGAGAAGGGGGGAGAACGAGGGAGGAGGAGGATGAAAAGAAGAAGAAAGAAGAAGAAGAAGAAGAAGAAGAAGAAACTTTTGTAAAGGATGGAAGAAGAGAAGTACAGTGTTTAGCAGAGATAGCAACTGGAAGAAGAAGAAGAAGAAGAAGAAGGAGGATGAAAAGAAGAAGAAGAAGAAGAAGAAGGATGGAGGAGTGTTTAGGAGTAAACTAGAAGAAGAAGAAGAAGAAGAAGAAGAAGAAGAAGAAGAAGAAGAAGAAGAAGAAACTTTTGTAAATTTTTGGCAGAACAGAGTTTAGGAGAGCTAGACAAAAATTACTAAGAGCGGCAGAGAACAGGAAATTGTGGAGAGACATAATCGCCAACATTCTAAAGAGACATTGCAGAAGAAGAAGAAGAAGAAGAAGAAGATGAAGAAGAAGAAGAATGGGCTTGTGTAAATATTTAGTCGAACAGGTTTTAGGAGAGACAGTTAAAATTTGCTAGAGCTACAAAAATCGGAAGTTGTGGAGAGACATGATCGCCAACGCCCTGAAGAGACATAGCACAAAGAAGAAGAAGAAAAAGGAAAAGAAGAAGAAGAAGAAGAAGAAGAATGAGCTTGTGTAAATGTTTTGATGAACAGGTTTTAGGAGAGACAATTAAAAATTGCTAAGAGCTACTAAGAACCGGAAGTTGTGGAGAGAAATGATCGCCAACGCCCTGAAAAGACATATCACAAAGAAGAAGAAGAAGAAAAAGGAGAAGAAGAAGGATAAGAAACATTTGTAAATGTTTGGCAGAAGAGAATTTAGGAAAGATAGCAAAAAGACAAAACTAGAAACAGAATTAAAGAACAGGAAAATGTGGAGAGACATGATCGCCAACATCCTGAAGAGATATGACACATAGAAGAAAACGAAGCTCTGGATATATAGACAATACAGAAAAAATCTCTTGATTAGATTATAGATAAATTAATTTATCGAGAGAGGAATAGAAGCATATATACCCCAGGTATTAAACATTGAAATTGGCACAAAAGAAGATATAAGATTTGGAGAGAGGCGAACAGAGACAGATTTGTCGCCAATTGAAAAGTGCACAATTTGCTTGCGTGAATATATTTATAAATAGCGACAGCATCAAGATACGTTCACTTCAATGAGACTTGGAAGGATGCACTGAGAAGGCATTGATGTAATTATGCGCATATATAGATCATTAGCGAGGCAGAAATTTATAGATTATTTTTATTGCTACACAGATACCATTTGATAAATTCCACGTCTCATTCATTTGCATGTTTAAAATGTGTGGACGCTTTCTCATTGGTTTTTCTTTCCCTACTGCTCAATATGTAGATATTTAAAGGATAGGGCGAAACATACAGTAATAAAAATATTAACATATCCACTTAGTGATAGAATCTCCGACTGACACCAATTCAGTCGGGTTTCGATCCTAGGTATATTTAGCTGTCCCCCCCCCACGTGGGGTAGCATGTGGCACAAGGTCGAGTTTAATGTGGCTCATCCGAGCCCGTAGGCCCGGCGAAAAATATAGCCTTCGAACCCGCCTAGGCGGGTTCGAGAGCTGTCAACCTCCCCGAACGAAACCTTGCCCTTCGGCAAAGCTTCGTCCGGGTTCCTTCCTGCTAATGCAGAGAGTTAGACAGACGGCGGTTGCTGTAAGTTTAATACAGCTTCAATACAGCTGTAAGTTTAATACAGCTTTCGACCCTAGCTAGAGGCAACCCGATGTCTAGCCACACTGAAGAGCTGTGAATCAGCGAAACAGTCTGTCTGTGGATGACTTTATAGGCTCCTGAAAAATTAATTTGAGTTGAGCTCTCTGGGGAGGAGGTGTGGGTTTGTAAACAGTGACTATTACGGCTGATATAGCGAGACTCTTCGGCAAAAAGCGAATTGAGTCACTGTCGGTCACTGTGTGTGTTTATCTAAAAATAAATACGCTAAAATTCATCTTCATCCCTGCCGTGTGCCGACGGCTTAGTGGTAGAATCTCCGACAAACACCAGATGTCTAGCCACACTGAAGAGCTGTGAAACAGCGAAACCGTCTGTCTGTGGATGAAGAATATATATAAATATATATATATATATATATATATATATATATATACAAGTGAAGGAATTTAAAATTTAGAGTAATCATATATAGTAATTCCTTGAATAATCCTCAACAGAATGCAGAAAGCAGTGAAAGGTCGTCTCGTCCTATTTGAGACTCATTAGCTGTGCACATCCCTAGGCCCGTGGTACAGTTGGTATGATGTTTGCGTTGTATCGAAACGGTCCGGGGTTCGACTCTTGGTTGTGGATCCGTCTCAGAGAGCATGAAACAGCCTCCCAGTGCTTTCTGCTTCCTACTGAGTATTATTCTAGGCTCTAAATGCGCCAATTTTTTTCACTTGTATATCCTTGCTTTTTGTTGGTATCTCGCTCAACTGCGCCCCACACATAATGATCAAAAGGGTTGCTATCTGGGGAGTTAGGTGGCCTGATGTAAGGAGTGATGTCTTTGCACAAATTGTCTGACAGCCATGACTGGGTTCTGTTGGTTGTGTAGCATAGTGCTAACACAGGCTCTTCTAACAGACAATCTCTTGACCCAGGGCAGTATTACTTTCTCAAAGCATTTGATGTAGACCTCCGTGTTGAGTCTGAAGCCCTGTGGAAAGATGAATGCAGCTATCACGTCATCACTTATGATCATTCCAAACAACTTCGTAATCATCATTAGATTCATCCAACTCTTTTCAAATGCTCTGCACACAACAAACACTCTGAAATGTTCGTACTTGTGCATCCGACGCGAATGGCAAGCACTACAGGATGCAGTTTTCAATTTCGAGTGGAGTGAATTGCGTCATGGCTTTTTCTTACAAGCGGTGCCCAATGGATTGTCCTATACTGTGCAGGCAACAAAATCAAAAAGAAATAACACGAAATTAAAAATATAAAATGGAGACAATTTATCTATTTCACCCTATATATATATATATATATATATATATATATATATATATATATATATATATATTTTTATTTTAAGTTTTTATACATTCTTTTTATGTATACAAATATTTAAGTTAATGCTCTGTTTAATTTATTATAAACAGTGCATTTACTTATAAAAAGAATGTATAAACATAAAAACGTCTTAAAATAATTATCGGACTTTGTCCATTTCATAATATGTGACGTCATTGTTTACATACGCCATTGATGGAAGATTGAAGTTTAAATACAGTAAATTCGACGTTGCTAACCGAACGCTCCTCTGTGGCCCAATCGGTTAAAGGCACGTCAGGCTAAATGACGGTTTCGTATAGGATACAGGTTCGAATCCTGTCGGAGGATGAATATTTTCTGTGAAAATTTCTCGGACATTCAGGCCGGTAAATGTTGTTCAATACTGTTTATTATAAACAGAGCATTTACTTAAATATTTGTATCTATAAGAAGAATGTATAAACATAAAATGTATTAAAATAATTGTCGGACTTTGTCCATTTCATAATGTGTGACATCATAAATATATATATAAATAAAAAGAAAGAACAGTAAGATATATAATCCGGTGTTCTTATAGATATTTTATTTTTACAAAATAGTGCTCAGTGTAAATTTATAGAGCATTAATATTATAAATTAATTGATTATAATTGATTTATAGAGCATTAATATTATAAATTAATTGATTTAAAATATGTTTTTTCCGCTACACAGTTCTAACCATGTTTCAAAAATTTTTGTAACATGGTTAGTACTATAAAGGAAAAACCATATTTTAAATCAATTAATTTATAATATATATATATATATATATATATATATATATATATATATATATATATATATATATATATTAATTTAATCTATGCATATATTGATAGACACACGTACTCAAACATATATATGATAAAATCAGTGATATAAAATAACCGAAAACTGTGTTAGAAGGAGTTTGTGTAATTGATTGTTTCAAATTTGTTGATGTTGTTATCAACGTTTTGCTCTGTCCAAGACTTGCCAAAATAACTGAAAAATAAAATAACGAGGAAAAATCTTTAGCATGGCCGCCTTGCTATTTTCAAAAGCTGTGCTTAATTTTGTAGAAAAATAAATATTTTTTTAGCATTTGTCTTCGGATTATTGGTTTTTGTGTCTTTTCGAAAAGTTTAAAAGAACTTTCAGATAACATCAATTTTACTCGTTTCTGATCTTTTTAGATTATAAAGCAAAGATAAGTAAACCACAATAACCATTTCTTAGTCTCTATGACGTGTTGATTTTAATGTCCACGAATAGAATGAAAGAAACAGAGAGAAAAATTGAAGTAGAGGAAAAAGAAATAATAGAACAATGCGTAGGCACAGGACAGATATTGAGTCATACAAAGAGGGGGTTCCTCTGTGAAAGATTCTAAATGACACGACTCAATATAATGGGCGTACAAAAATATCGTTTGGTTTCTTGCTTTCTAAAATAATATTGTCTTTATTTATCCGAGATTTTTTTTTATGTTTCACTTTTTCGAATTGTTTCTAGCATCATTTGTATTTATAGCTCATTAGTATCATTTTATATAAACTGTTTACTTTTTCATAATATTCTATTTAATCGAGTCTATACATTATCTATCTATCTATCTATCTATCTATCTATCTATCTATCTATCTATCTCAGCCTGTTCATATCTATCTATCTATCTATCTATCTATCGCAGGTTCTATGTATGTCAGCCTGTTCAAATGTATCTATCTATCTATCTATCTATCTATCTATCTATCTATCTTAGTATGTTCAAATCTATCAGTATTTACTTATGTTTCTCTTTCTGTATTTCTCATTCTATCTACTTATCTCAGTTTATTCCCATCTATCTATCTATCTATCTATCACAGGGTTTTTTTTTGTCTTTATTTCTTATTTCTTTCTATCTTTCTTTCTATCACAGGATATTTTTTCTTTCTTTCTTTCTTTCTTTCTTTCTTTCTTTGTCAACCTGTTCATGCCTATCTATCTATCTATCTATCTATCACAGGATCTTTATTTTTCTTTCTTTCTTTTTTTCTTTCTTTCTTTGTCAACTTTTTCATTCTGTCTATCTATCTCTCTATCTATGTCAACCAGTTCATATCTATCTATCTATCTATCTATGTCAACCTGTTCATATCTATCTATCTATCTATCTATCTATCTATCTATCTATCTATCTATCTATCTATCGCAGGATCTATGTATGTCAGCCTGTTCATATCTATCTATCTATCTATCTATCTATCTATCTATCTATCTATCTATCTATCTATCTATCGCAGGATCTATGTATGTCAGCCTGTTCATATCTATCTATCTATCTATCTATCTATCTATCTATCTATGTCCGTCCTTTTCATTCCTGACTCATTTCTATACTGTCATAACATTTAAAGTTATCTACCTCAAAATATTTCTACTTATCAAGACATACATTCTTACTAGACTAACCCGAATATTTTCTCCTCCCTTCCCATCCTCTCGTTACCTTTTTCAGTGTAGCTTAATTTCTCACAAGGCAACAGATATTATTCAGTAATAATGGTCAACCAGACGAAAGCGGTAACCATTATTCAGTAATTTCCTGAATTATTTTATATTCTTTCATGTTTTTGTTTTCATGCGTCGTCTTTTCGTCGTAGGCGATCCCGATTCGCCCCACATATGTTTATTAATTCTGAATTCTCATGGCTTGAGAATGGTTTTCCAGTACTTTCTGTTGACTTCTCGAAGGTTTTGTGTTGTGGATTCCGTGATGAATTCGGTCCCCAAGGAATGACAAACGCAATAATTAAATATAAGAAATAAAATGTAATTACACAATCATACAAAGAGTAATACTGTTAGTAAGTCCAGGAACGCGGTTAGTAGCAAATACAGATGGATATATACAGTCTCGAAGTAGGACTTCCTTAGAGTCTACGTGCTTGTAACTGATTTCTACAAGAGGTTACCTCATCTCCGTTCGTATATTCTCTCACTATCCGTATATCCTCTCTGACTCTGGGTATTTAACGGCAGCACTCCAAGTAACACTGGTAGAGTCCACTTATATGAAAAGGGGAGGAGACCATAACACCCCCCTCCTTAGATCCCTTTTTGGGGGGAGTAATATTTTTGTCTCTTATGGTTGATGATCACAGGTTAGACGAATTTTCTCTTCCTGTTTGACCTTCTCATTTCTGTGTCTTCCTGCGGTCTTTGGATCTCAAACGCTTCGAAGATTGTATCCATAGAGTCGTCGTTTTCTGTAATTGATCGATATGTCTTCCATGTGAAAACTTCTCGCCTTTTATGGTGTACATTAGATTCCCTTATCTATTGATTACTGTGCCAGGCTCCCAGTAATCCATATTGTTTCTAAACATTTTAAAATAAACCCGTTCCCCAGGTTTGAATGATCTCTTTGCTACAATCGGTGTATACTGATTTTTGTTCTTGTTTGGCAATAATTTGTCAAACACAGACCTTATTCTCCGGGCAAACATCAATTCTGCTGGTGAAAGACCCGATGGCGTGTTCAGGTTAGGTGTTATTCATATTCTTCAGTTCCTAATTTTCTAAGCAATAGACGTAGCTTTTTTGCTTCTGTCCAATTTTGACAGTCTATTTTAAATATGTCTTCATGTCTTCTGAAGTAATCTCCAAAATCTTTGTCCTCATCTAGAGAATATTTGAAAATCTCTATGGTATTCCACACTGCGTCTTGCGAAAATGTTGCTTCTTTTTCAATATCTAATTGTTTGTTGCCCGCTACTTTCAATATTAAATGCTAGACCTCTGTTTGCCTATCTTGATTTTCCTTTTGCGATGGTAATAATTGCTTTTGCCATTTTTCTTGTAGCTGTAACTGTTGATCATTTTGGTATTTTTGCATTTGTAATTGTTGCTCATTTTGGTGTTTTATCAGTTCTACCAAAATATTTTTAAAATCTTCCAGGATAGCTCAATTTTATGTATTTTTACACCTCGTAATTGTTTGTCGCTAATTTGTTGTGGACGACGAGGGAAGGATTTTTCTATTTCTTCTTTTCGTGTGAGTTCGAATCTTCGTCGCCAATTTGTTTGTTGGACGACGAGGGAATATTTTTCTTTTGTTGATTTGTTTTCCGCGTGTGTTCGAATCTTCGTCGCCAAGTTGTTTGTTGGACGACGAGGGAATATTTTTCTTTTGTTGATTTGTTTTCCGTGTGTTCGAATCTTCGTCGCACAAGTTGTTGTGGATTCCGAGATGAATTCGGTCTCCAAGGAATGACAAACGCAAGGATTAAATATAAGAAATAAAATGTATTTACACAATCATACAAAGAGTAATACTGTTAGTAAATCCAAGAACGCGGTTAGTAGCAAATACAGATGGATATATACAGTCTCGAAGTAGGACTTCCTTAGAGTCTACGTGCTTGTAACTGATTTCTACAAGAGGTTACCTCATCTCCGTTCGTATATTCTCTCACTATCCGTATATCCTCTCTGACTCTGGGTATTTAACGGCAGCACTCCAAGTAACACTGGTAGAGTCCACATATGAAAAAGGGGTGAACCCCATAACATTTTGGAATTCTTCTTCTCTTAGACTGATTACCAGCTAAGACTAGAGAGAACAGTTTGCCTTACTATTTAACTCATTGCTTATCGCTGAAGTGATGAATTCGTGGCTTTCATCATCTGATGGTTAATGGCTTAACTGCTGGACGCTAAATGAAGTCGAGCATATGAAATCATGTTATATATTGTAACGTGTATAATAATAATCTATATTCACAGGCAAATGTCGATTGTTCTATGTATATGTATGTAACTGTTTTGTTTAATTCCCGCGTTCTTCGGTTTAATGGAGCCAGTTTTAAAGTTATTCAAGGTGACGTCTTTTTAAGGGCCAACCTGAAAGTTATATGTGTATTTATTTTAAACACCCTTCAAAATGCGGTCTCATATGGAGAAAGATGTCATTTGACTATCTAAAGATATACATATGATAATTATATATATATATATATATATATATATATATATATATATATATATATATATATATATAAACATCTCAACCAAAAGCAAAGGAGGAGGAGTTTCACTAGCACGCAGGAGGGTTACGGAGAGTGAGAGAACAGATTGGGTGTAGGGGGATTGAGAAAAGAGATCAAAGTAACAGAAGATGGCGATTGACGATGCATTTAAATTTTTGAAGATTTTAGTTATCAGGGGAGCAAGTGAGTGGAAGACAAGTAAAGAAACAGTTGGAGTAGAAGTTTTGGTTTCATTTAAATATTTCAACGTAAAAGAGTAGGATACCAGTCTAGTAGCGCGCTTACATTCATGTAATTAGGGAACCAGAGAAAACAAAAAAAGCTTCTCAGAGTAGAATCCATGAAAATGTTTGTAGAAATAAACAAGGAAACCACACGTGAGAAATTATATATAACTAGCGATATATCACATACGTAAATTATAGCTCTGGTATTATACATCGAGCACTGTCATTAACAGCAGCACTCAATATGCCATATTTTATATCTATCTATCTATCTATCTGTATGTATGTATGTATGTATGTATGTATGTATGTATGTATACAGTGCTGTTCGATAAAAGTGACTCACCTGATTTTTTTTACTAAATGTTCTCTTCTCCGATGAAACGAAAGTTGAGCTAAATTCAAAGTATAAACGATCTAAAATCCGAAGAAGAAGCTTTGAAAGCTCTTTGAATTTAGCAGTAAGTACTGTCAAGCATCCGTTCAGTATAATTCAGTATTCTGGGGATTGTTTTTCTTTGCATGGAACTGGTTTCTTAAAACCTATTGAAAAGACCCTCAGGAGCGAGCAGTACAAGAGAATTTTAGAGTGTTGTCTGCCCCCTTCTGCTGAAAGGGTGCAAATCGACCCCACCAAGCTCATTTTTATGCAGAATAATGCTCCCTGTCACAAAAATTGATGAAAGAATACTTTGATGAGAAGCAGGTGAGTGTTATGACATAGACGCCCCAATCTCCTGGCCTCAACCTCATAGAAAACTTATGGAGCATTATAAAGTATAGGCTCTCGAGAAAGCAGTTGAGTAACAAAGAGAATTTGAATGTGAATTTCATATCCAAATGGAATTCAATGCATGGAGATGAGATTTGCCAGAACCTAATCAAATCAATGCCAAAAAGGAATGAAAAGGTTATTCAGAATAAGAGAGGACACATAGATTATTAAATATTTCGAACTATATTACCTATTATAAATAAATTATACCTCTATTATTCTTTATTTAAAGCTGTTCCGTTATGTTTCTATTGAGTTTTTCCCTAAATCTCATTTATATCCAAAATTATAATTATCAATAGAATACCTTAGGGTGTATAAACTTTTTTACTAGGTGAAAAAATTTTTAAGTAAAAGAATCAGGTGAGTCACTTTTATCGAAGAGCACTATATATATATATATATATATATATATATGTGTGTTTGTGTGTGTGTTCAGGTCAATTGGGGTAGTGTATTATTAAATTATCAGACTCCATCCTAAAAATATTAGTAGAAAATACAAATATAATAACCTCGTCCACATGATTCAAATTTAATGGAAAATGATTCAATATATAATCGTAAAATGATTCAAATATAATGGAAGCCTTAATAATAAAAATAAAAAAGCCATCACTTAATAATAATATCTACGCTGTGGTAACTGTGTTCGAAAAATAAAATATCCCTATAACTCTCAAAACATACACAGAACCCATACACCCAGTTAAAATCAAAAATAATATCAAACTTGATAATCGCTAAAAGTATAACTGAAAGCGATAGGAATTACAGAAGATTTGGGCAGTTACTACACAGTTTCTGATAAGTTGGTAATACTCTGCCCCAATTGACCCTTACAAATAATCAGTTTATTTATCTACTACAAAAAATTTAAAACAGATAATCTCATCTTAAAAAATAACAACATATCAGCAAAATCAAAATTACCACTAACGAACATTATCTATGAGTTCAAATGCCCCTTATAGAACTGTTTTGCCGATCAAATCTAATTCATAAATAATTATATCGGTCATACGATTACATGCCTATCCAGATACTTTATATTACACCTATGTAACCACAGCTTTATTAGAATTCATTTAAATACACATGCAAACGCTTGGAATTATAGGAACATTTGGGCAATTTCTACACACTTTGAAACACATGTTCGAACAAAAGAAAAATTAAATAAAAAGCTTAATCATAGTATCTTGATTATATATGTGATAAATGAAATAAAGAGAATGTTTTACCTTTATTAAGGATTCGCCAGAGGTTGAGAAAAGAAATGAAAAAAACAAAGAAACAAAATAGTAAAATTTTATGATTTTTGGCAGTTTACATTAGTCAGACACGCGTCAAGCAAATAAATAATAGAATATTTGAGAAATCTTGCTAGAAAACTATACTCTCTCTTATTATCCAGTACGGGGAAGGGTCATTAAGATTTAACGCTCCTTTGCTACGTCGGCCATATTCTTCTAACAAGATGCAAGAGTATAAATTAAAAAT